TTCAGACTCTTCAAATTTTCTCCACCCCCCCTCGCAAGGCCCATGGGAGCGTCTTGCCTCCTTGTCCCCCGCCGCAGCCGCGGAGGTGATCACCAGGGAGTAGCCCACGGCCCCGTCCTGGCGGACAGTCACTACTGTACACGGACGAAATCCTCATTTCGGCACCACCGCCTACAGGTGTGTACCAAGGTTTATAATCCAACTTATACCTTGTATTTACTGGTAAGTTTGTTGGTTATTTTGGACTAAACAGATTCCCCCTGTAAATATCAACAAACAATGGTTTCAACCATGGTTTCATTAGGTGGTGCGAAGTGAATTTTGTCCATCCCCAGTATGGACCTCGTCGCCCCCGTGGTCTGTGTGTGGTGCAGAGGTGGGCCCCGGCAGATGGCCATCGGCAGCCCTTCACTGGCAAGCGATTCTTTTTTGTCCGGTTCCGAAAAGTTCCCCTTGTGCAAGTCACCTCGAAAAGGAGTCAAGTAAATTTGTGGTGCATTTGGTTGCGTCCTAGGAGTGGGAACCCTGGGTTCTGCCCCACTTTTCCTTGTGAACACCATGGGAATCCGAGATTGTGGAAACACCTGTGCATTTTTCCCACAAAGCCGTTTCTCAACATGGAAATTGGAGGCCTCGCTTCAGGCCACTGCTGGGTTTGCTAGGTAGGGCAGACCTTCAAAGAAGTCAAATATGATCCGAACCCTCTACGAACCGTAGGTGGCCTTTTGGAAAAATAGATGGGTTTCCCAAGCAAATGGAATAAACCCCACCTAAACCGGTGGAACCCATTCTTTTTTTGAATCAAACAAACCGATCAAAAGGAGACCTATGCCACTCACCCCTCCCCCCACTCACCCCTCCCCCTCTCCCCACATTTTCCCCAAATGGCTGTCACTCAAAAACCCGGTACCCAACATGAAAACTTGGTAACTGGAAATGCCCCTCCTGTTGAAAATTTTGAGCCACACCGCCACACCCAAAAAAATGGCCATGACTTCTTCCACTCGCTCGTACCCATCCCATCCGTCGGCTCGGGGGTCGGCCGCTCGGGTCCTGGCGCGGCTCCAGCGGCGCGTCGCCCAGCAGCACCCCGCCCTCCAGGCCGCCTGCCGCGCGCCGCGCGCTGCCGTCGGAGGCCTCCAGCTGGAGCTGGGCGCCCACCTGCGAGCAAGCCAGGCCACTGCCCCCGCGGCTTGCGCTCGAGCAATCCGCTCAGTTGCCACAGCTAGTTAGTTTCTGACGCTGACAAGAACGGGGTGAACTAGACAGCTGCGACAGGCTAAACTGCCGGCAAGTTATTGGGGCCCTCATCGGATTTCTACGCAGGATGGGGGCTCAGCGCGCAAAACCTCAAGCAGCAGCAAGCAAAGCAGCCACGACAATTGTTCTTCACTCGCTCGGGCCCGAGACTTGAGCAAGTAGACACGTGCCGCCTACAAGATTGCGCGTGCGCGCTTTGCTTTTGCAAGGGTTTTCGCTTAGCAGTTCCTCCTTACGGGTCCCAGAGCTTCCTTCCAGGCGCTGGCGGGAACTTGCTTGCTTTGGCACGCCCGCCAATGAAAGGCTGGCTTCTTGCTCCCCATATATGTGTTTTGCCTGGGAAGGGAAGTTTTGGGTATGGGAAAGGGCTTGTTACGTGGGTTCTCACGTGCATTTAAAGGCTCGGAACTGGCCAACACATAAAGAGGCCACAGTTTGGTCCAAGGGCTGCCCTTCTCCATGTACACCTCCAGGAGCTTGTGCTTGCAGATTTGTTCGGCAATTGTTTTCGTTTCGGAGCAGCGTGCCAACATCTGATGAGCGTTGTAGCGCGGTCTTCGAAAAGGAAACCTGATCCGACGTTTGTTTGACAAGTTTCCAGAGAAAATGCGCCGAGCTGAATTGTTCGGGCCCGGTCAGAGTCGTGACCTTCGAGGAAGTTGCTCGGCTACCCGGCCATTCCCAAATCCCTCAACGAGAGCCGGCCAGAGTATCCTCTCTGGACTATGGACTGTAAACACCTTTGAACACTTTGAACCACCAACCAACCTGAAACCTGAAAGGACTGAGCTTGCCCCATGCCTGTGCCGAGCATGCCTTTGCCTAGCGTGGAATTCTGACATCGCCGAGCGTTTCGCTAATAGCAAGCCAGGCGCCTTTTCCCTGTAGAAGCCGGACATGACTTGCTGCTGCACCGGCTCAGGTGGTGCAAGTACTTCCGGCTCGGGTAGCTCCTCGCTTCGGTAAAACCTCAAGCAAGGAGGCGCATGGAGACCCAGCTTTTCAATTTTCACAGGGGCTGGGGGGGAGGGAGTGGAGGGGGAGGGAGCCCAAATAAGAAAACCCTTCTTAAGGCCCTTAATAAGGCCTGATTTGAGGCTTATTTGGGCTCCCCTGCCCCTCCCTCCCCCCCAGCCCCCATGAAATGTCTGAATCGGTTTTTGGGGGCCCATACCAGCAAAGATAAAAACGGAGGTCAAAACCGGCTTGGGGTTGGGTCATGAGGCCAAACGGCCAAACCGTCCGCTGCCAAGCCTCGGGATACCTTTGACTGGGGTTTGGGGCCAGGGTTTGGCTTTTGCTTGGGACTGAGCAATCGTCTCATGGCAACGTTCCAGCCCTTGCAGTTCCTTCTGCCAAAACCCGTTTAACATTAGACAACCCTCCTCAGTCGGGAATCGAGGCCAGCGTGAATCTGAGACCCATGTGTGTCTCAAAGGGAACCCTTCACCGTTTGCTCTCACTTTGGCTTCCCTCTTTGAGACAGCCCCCCTGCAATAAGAGTTTGTCTCAACATAGGGAACCCTTCAAGTTGTTGGTTCCCCTTTGATTTCCCTGTAACCCAACTGGCCAAGACTTTCCCTTTAAAGCGCCAAGAGGAGCTACCCTCAAAAAAAGGGACACCCCCCACCCCCCAATGTCACCTACCAGGATGTCTTGATGTCTCCTGCGGCGCTTGGGCCATGGGCTTCAAACTCAGCCGCCGCACTGCACCCAGCAGGTCCACCACAGGGAAGAGGAGCGCCTAAGGAAATGAACCCCCCGCGCCCCTGAAAACCTTTCAGCGGGGGGGCGGTCCTTCGGTGGGAATTCCTTTCTACCCTTGAAATTTCACCCTCTTGAAGATGCGGAACCCTTTTGAGTTCTCGCAAAAGAGTGAACCCTGTTTGCGCGCAGCAAGCGGGGTTGAGGTTTCCACGCACGCCTGGCGCGATTTCTTGCGCACGCCGGGTGACTTCAGCCTCAAAGTGCCTGGGGCCTCCATAGCCAAGTGGCACGAATCTCACCCGACCAAAGGGACTAGCAACTGAGACAAGGTTTCCGATCGGGAAACCACTCGCCTCGTTTGAATGGTTCCAGGCAGGATGTCCGAGCCATGTCCCTTTGTGGAACCTCCAAAGGTGGCGAACACACAAACACTGAGCTGATGCTGGAAGCGCAAACAAGAATATGTATGTATACTGTATATCAGTTTAAGAACACAGAGAATATATCTAACTGTATATGTATCTATACTGTATATAGCTTATATGTAACACGAATATATCTGTTTAACACCAACAGGCGCCCCGTACGCCACCCTGCTGCTACCCTGCCCCCCCCCCCCCTCTCACCTGCGGTGCCGTCTTCTCCGGCGGCAGTGTTGGCCCCTTCGCCACCTGCTGGCCGTTCACGAAGATGCGCAGCACGTTGCCAAGGTCCACCAAAGCGCCTCGCAAGCGAAAGGAAAATATGGCTGTGGTGGTCGAAAATCGGCGAACCCCAAAATGGCTTCCCTGGTAAATGGAACCAAGGACTAAAACCTGCGGTCCATATCCTGGTTGTTTTATTTTGACCCACACCCATATGAATATGCGTCAAAAACGGGTCTGCGACTCTCCAAATACTACTTGCACTTGGCATCCTTTCTTCAAATTTGCGTGAGTGCTCGATTGCTTGCTGGCTCGCTGGCTCGCTGGCTTGCTTGCTTGCGTGCTTGCTCGCTTGCTTATTTTGTGTTGATTCGTTATTGTGTTTTGTTTGTGTTGTTTTTCCGTTGGTTTGTTTAGAACGAAAGAAAACAAACTACTGCTTAATAAGGACCTGCTTGCAGGAAATCGACCAACATAATAAGCCGGTTGCTTCAGTTATCAAATGTGTGGGCCACGTCTGAGTCCTTTCGCTGAACCTGACCGCCTGGACATCCCATTGCTCACTACGACCAATAGGCCGCTGGCCAGTACCCTGCAAGGGAGCTGATGGTTGAGCGAGGGAGCATGGCCTTCGCTCAAACTGGGGGACCCCGAGGAGCGGTTGGTTCCATTTTGGCCTCCCTTATACCAACTGTCGGCAAAAATATGCATCAAATTTGTTTCAAAGGTGGAGTACAGCCTGACAGTCTCACATGATGCCTCTACCACCCGCAACTTGCGCCTACGGTGTCGCCGGCGGAGAGCTGTCGGGTATCCCAGCTGCTGAGAAGCCATTCCTCAGCTCAACTGAGGTGCCCTGGTTGGAACTGCAAGGGGAGGGGTCCTTGTGGTAAGACACACCGGGACCCGAATCATCAGTGGCAAATCCCAAAGAAGGAAGCTGGTTGCTCACTGCTTCCAGCTTGCTCCAAACCCAGTGAACTGGTTGCAAAGATCTCCGGGTGGATTCGATCTTAGTTCGGGGTCCTGCCCAGTCCCACGTCGCGTCTTTGACCCCTGAAGTGAAGCCAAGCCAGAGTCGTCTTTGCGCATAGCGAGGGGGCAAGAAAAAACGCAAAGGCAACATGCTCATGCAGAAGCCCACGGCTTGAACAATGGCTCAACCGACAGCCAAAGCCACTTTGACTCGCCCCTTTCGGAGACTTTCACACACACTAGCCTTCGAACATGAGGTAACGGTAACCTCACATGTTCCGCTGCACGCTTGCGGGGGAATATATGCGCTGCATGCCTGAACGTGGTTTCCTTTTGGTTTCCTTTTGGTTTCCTGGTAACACCAACTAAAAGGGACCCCCCAAAAAAGAAGAAGAAGAGGCAACAACACCAAAACAAATCGCTAACTCGTATGCGGAACCCCATGGTTGGACACCAATCTCCAAATGTCCACCAACGGGTTTTTGCATCAAACTTCACATGGCATGAAAATGGTCCACCAGGGCCCCAAACCATGCTTCAAGAATCAAACCGGCGCCGTTCATTTTGTTCATTTGTGGTTGAAACTCTCCCTCAAGAAAAAGAAGAAACAACACAAAAGGTCTTTTGAGCCCAACTGGCTCCCCCCCCAAAAAAAACTCCGCGGCCGGCTGCTCCCATCGAGCCGTTTCGGGGCTTCGGCGGGTTTGGGGCGCGTTCTTGGGCCCCCCGGCCATCTTGGCGCCGTCCCAAACGGCGCCGTCGAAGCCAACGAGCCACGCGGGGCGCAGGGCGTCGGAGGAGCCCACGGGCTCCAGCAGCTCCTCGGGCCTGCAGGCTTGGAGCCTTGGGAAATTCTGAAATGACCCGGAAGCATGGGTCCCTAGGGAGTCTCTAGGGGGTCTCTAGGGGATGATTGCCCCCCAAAATGGGACCAGTTATTGCCCCCAAAAAATGGGGTGAGTTCCCTGAAATTTCCCTGAAGAATGGGTGATTGCCAGTTGTTGCCCCAAACAAATGGGGTGAACTCGCCTTTTTTGATGGGGCTTGAGGGTCCGGGTACGTTTTGAGTGGCCTGCTTCAAAAGGAAATCAGAAAGACAACCCCAATATGGAGGGTCCATGTTGAGACAAACCCCGGTGGCAAAAAGTGATATGCAACACCAAGTTGCAAAATTGCAACCGTTGGCATGCGGGCAACCTGAAAAAAGGCCTTGTGCATGGGATGACTCTTCATCCGGAACAGCTTGAGTAGGAGAAGCAAACAAACTTGTCAGCTCCGCTTCCGCCCGCAAAGGCAAGCCCTTGATGGAGATTGGCTGGATTGGCTGGTTTGTGCCTTTTGAAACAGAGTATGAGTGATTGGTTTGTTTGACTTGGCTGGGTTGCTTGGGTTAGCTGAGTTGGTCGGGTGGCTTGATTTCGAGCTGACATGAGAGCAACCTCTTCAGCGACCAGGTAGTTCGCTGTGTGCGTGCTGACATCTGGTTGGCTGATGGGTGATGATAGGTGTCGTGGGTTGGTTTTCCGGTAGCTGGCTTTCCAGCATGCTGGCTTGCTGGCTGGTTTGGCATTTGGTCGGTTGCTTGCCGGCTCACTTGTTCTCTTGCCTGTTTTGCGGGTCGGCTACTAGTTGTGTGCGGCTTCCCGGATGAGGCTCGTGATTCTGAGCGGGCTCTTGGGAACAAGGGCCTTCGTATGAGTCATGACGTCGGACTCTGCCATGGATTGGGGGTTGGACTTGGGATCTGCCACTGTCCAACCTCTGGGTCTGATGATATCGTTGATAGCCTGTGATATCTAGCAAGGATTGACATACAGAACCACCAGGTGGAGGAGGAGAACGCTGATGAAGCTGATGACGCTGTTGATGACGACGACAATGATCATTAAACAATGATGCTGAACACAATGGTCAGTAGGCCCTGCAAGATATGGGGGTTGATCAAAAGGTCCTTTACATCACAGACACACAGAGACACACAGACTCAGACACACAAAGACACAGACACACACACACACACAGACAAAACACACTCACACAGGGGCACACACAGAGACTCACACAGAGACACACACACACACAGAGACACACACACACACACACAGACACGCACGCACACACACACACACAGACTGGGATGACCATCAGAGAAACCACCAAAAAAGATTACTTTCCCCACTCAACGGGAAAACTACTCATGGTCATTTTGGGGCCAATTGAAATATTGATCAACTCTCATATGAGTCACAATCAAAACCCGCCATTGAAATGGTTTACCTAGAACCACGTTTCAAGAAAAAAGGCAACCATATCCGCACCCATTCATGGCTTGGATTGCCCTTACTCTTCAATTACCCGGGTTTGGAGCAAGTGACTCATATTAAACCAAGACTAAAGACAAAACACCTGCTTGACCCTAGCTCTTCTGATTTGGAGCCACACCCATATGGCACTCAAAGAGGTATTTTTTGGCTCAATCATCTCCCTCGACTTCCGGGGCGCCTATGGCTGGTCACGCCGATCGCCATGCCATCCGGCTGGTCCGGCACCACCTGGTGCCAACAGCTTGCTGTCTGGTGGGTGGTATTTTGCTCAGGAGGTTCCAAAGAAATGGCTTGGGGGTTTTAGCATGCGGCTAGGATCAAGGCGGCAAACTCCAGCTTTTTCCATGGCTGCCAATCCGAGTTCCTAGCGATTCAATCCATGCGTGTGCCAAGCCTGCCAATGAGCTCTCAATTCAAAGCATGCGTGTGCCGAGCCTCGGTTCAATCAGAAAGGAATGCGAGCCATGGGCAAACAGATTCAGATGGCTCTGCCATGAAAGACAATTGGCAACCCGTGTTCGATTGCAGTCAGTTTGCGGCAAGACCCACCTGAGTCACACTCAAAACCAACCAATATTTCCATGGTCAACCCAAATCCAAAGGAAATGCAAGGCGGACGTCCGGACCCAAAATCGGGCTGGGACTGCCCCCAACGGAGGTGGCCCCAGCCCGGCGTGCCGGCAGCCTCGTCGATGTGAACCTGACGGCCCAGTGACTCCGGTTCCGTGACGCAAGTGGAACCACTCGAGAGCAAAACCCGCCCCCAAAAACCCGGCGCCCCCCCAAAAAACGGCCACCCAAAATGGAACCATCAAAAAAAAAACGCGCAAAGCAACATGGCGAAGGAGTTTGCCCCCTTTTTTGGGGGGGGGACTGCAGATGCAGAAACCCTCAGGGCTTTGATTAGGAGTCAAAGGGAAACCCTTGACGTCCACTTTTCCGAGACGTGAAACCAAACATAGGCCGAAGCTTCGCTCGATTGTGCAGACGGCATGAACAGCATCATTGATGTCTACTCCATCTTGTCGCAGAAAAGAAGCATCCAAGCTGCTCTGAAGATTCTTTTCTTGGCATCCCTTGGTCTTTGCTGCCCCTTCGTGTGTACCAAGGCCTCGGGGGCCATCAGAATACGGTCCGCGCAAGGATCCCACTCTGATGCTGATAGCCGAGAGGCGTGATAAAATCACTTTGATCTAAAGGCCCCCCTGTCCCTCTCGAGGGTAAGTCCCTCTCACTGAAACCTCAACTTGGCTTTGGACCACTTCCTTCTGAAGGGAGACCTTGGTGATGCCGAAAATCACCTGGGAGTGGAGGTAAAAGTCGGTGCTTCCAGCGAATATTGAGAAAACAGAAAACCTGTGCTTTCATAGGTGTCCTTCTAGGGGAAATAGATGGGTTTCCCTTGTAGATGAGAAAAGACCACCAGGTAAACCAGGAATCGCCATCTATTTTTCGAGCAAACAGCCAAAAAGGACACCACGAGTGCTTCCGTCGGATTTCGGCCTCGCGAGTCGAGAAAAAAAAGCGGTCGGCCTCGAAGTAGCGCCCGCTCTCCAGCAGCTCCAGCGGCGCGGCGCCAATGGCGGTGCCTACCAAGCTTCATGCGCCGGCAGGGCGCGCCCACGTTTGGGGATGGTCAGCTTACGAACCCAAAAAATGACCCCCAAAACAACAAAGCAAAGACAAAACAAACAAACCCATATGTCTAGGAGTTGATGATTCCAATTCCATTCTTTGCAACCATCGTTCTTCTCAAAAACCAGCTGTGTCCCCAGGAATTTTGGTGTTTTTTTGTAGAAAGAAGGATGCCTAGAAAGAATGGGGAAGGTACCCCTAGACAATTGGTAGTTTCCAACCAAACGACCAATCCAAACCACCAATTAAGGGGAACCTGAAAAATGAACATTGTGCATGGGCAAAACTGGAGCTTCTCAAGATTCAGCTTCCCGCCAATGAGCGAATTGGATTGGTGGTTTGGTGGTTAGTGGGTGCTTGGGTATGCTACAGCTTCCAATTGGTGGTGTGGATTGGGGGTTTGGTGGTTAAGCTGGGGTTTCCCACGTCAGATTAACAACTAAGGGGAACCTGAAAAAATTGTCGAAACATCATTGCGTTCCAACCGCAACAGGGGTAGCCTCGAAAAAGCAAAGAGCCAAATGCACAATGATGATTGTTGTTTCAATGCAGCCGACAACAGTGGAGCATGCAACATACTCGACAAACAATTCTCTCAGCTGAGCTCCTCCCTCCTCCCAATCCGAAAGCAAAGCGCAGCGCCTCTTTCAGGACCAAACCTTTCGAACCTTGAGGAAAGTTGCAGGGCCCTCATTCGGCATTGCCAAGACCCTCTTCACCTTCATTTCCCTGAAAGGTAAACCAGTGGCCCATGCTTGCAAAAGCAACTGTTGTGTACTTGGAGCAACTCTCGCTAAAAGTTAATCTCGCTAAAATTGACTTTTAGTGGGTTAAATGGAAATCCAACCAATAAACCAACTAAAAACCTAAAAACCTAAGTGGATGGCTGGGAACCACCAAGAAAGCCAGCCAAGTGGTACCATCCCACCCTTCCAACATGGAACCTGACGTTTGGGGGGTCATGGTTCGGACCATTTTCCTTTTCAAGGGTCCCCGAACGTCAGCTCCACGTAGAAAAGGGTGGCAGGGTACATCCAGCCCAACAAACCCTCTGGCGCTTTACTGAAGGGAAACCAAAAGGCAAACAAACACGAATCCATTTTGCGGGGGTTCAAGCCCTTTGGTGCTTTACTGAACACAAACCAAAAGGAAAAAACGACTCCATTTTTTTTTGGGGGGGGTCCGATTCCAGTCGGCTTCCGGCCACCCAAGCGCCACCCGTCCCCGGACCGTCCAGCGGGCCTTGCAGCTCCTCCGCGCCGAGCCGCTCCACCGTCCAGGCGTCCTTCGAGAGCCGCAAGGACCGGCCCAGGGAGGCCCGGTGGAAGCCCCGCGCCTTCCTCAGATGACCCGGCGCAGACCCGGCGCGGGAGGCGACCGGAGGACCAAAGGTGTGAGTCGTACTCAAAACCCGGCTTAAAAATGGGGAAAAAAAACCGCCCATGCTCATTTTGGGGCCAAAAAAGAGAAAAGTGATCAACTCTCAGATGCGTCGGTTGCTCAAAACCCTTTGTACTAAAATGGTCAGACCGCAGGACCGAAGACCGAAGCACCCGAAGTGGCCACTTCGGCCGCTCGCCTTTTGTTTTTTTGGGGGGGACAGGCGCGGCTTGGCTGTGTTTTTTTGGGGGGGGGGCAATGGCGGCAATGCGATAGATGGATCCCCTTCTGGGTGGTTTTAGAGGGAAAGAAGAAGAAGAGGAAGGAGAAGAGGAGAAGTCCGGATTTTATGGTCTTAACAAAAAGATGAAACAAACTAGACGAAACACTATGTTGGTGCAAAGTGGTATGCTGAAGCTTGATACTGGACAGCCAAAAAGCGAAGCGACATGTTGTTTCAAAAAACAAGAGATAGAGAGAGAAGAGAAGGGACAGAAACGTGTAGATTGTCAGGGAAGTCTCATGACTGGAGCTAGTAGGGAACACAATTCACCAACGCAAGGTCTGATGTCCCGTACTGGCACAGCAAGTTGCAGACCAATCCTGAAGTATGTGCAGCTGAACAAATGTGCAGCATTACCATTGCCGACAGTGGAATGCGTGATCATATTACGAGTACATGGGCTGATATCTTGTTGCTGAGACTCCAGACGCAAACACAACCAATTAATTAAATACTGCCGTGGTCGTAGATACTACCCTTTCCAAACAAAAAATTGGAAATCGAGGTGCGCCCAATCAGATCAGTTGCAATACTGCAAGGCCATTGGGCGCTGCCTGAGCCTATGCACTCCAACAAACTCACGTGAATCCGCAAAACTGCCTATAGTTGCAAGACACCCTTTGGAGCATCCACTTTAGAATCGTACACTAGTCAAACCCCGAACCCCGCGCACACTCCTTAGTCAACCCTGTCCACCGACAGCTAGCCCCCCCCCCCTACACCACTTCGTCATTGGGCTGATTCCATGCCTCAGAGGGATTCACATCCACGGCATCTCCAGGAGCCTTGTTAAAGCACAAGTCAGCCCCTGGTTGCCGAGAAATGGGAGACATGGGAACTCGGTTGCTTTCTGCTCCCCTGCTAAAAGTTTAACTTTTAGTGGTTTAATGGAAAACCCATTAGTTGGCAAAAAGTTAAAGTCCTAACATCCCTTGGCAAAATGCACCAAAGGGAAGGGGAATCCCATGACTTTGGACAAAACATGGGTATCAGCTAATGATTCTAATGGGGCAACGCCGAGATGGTCGCTTTTCCCGTTGCTTTCCTTCAAACCCCCCCCACAAAACAGTACACCCTCTGGCAAATGCTGTTTCTCAACAGAAAACCAGCAAATCAACCCAATCAAAAAAGAAGAGCTCTCACTTGGTCGACCCCCTTTTCGCGGCCTTTGAAACCCGAGGTGCACCGCTGAGGCGCGGAAGTCCATCTTGCTGTCTTGCTTCTCCGGGCGCACAGGGCAACGGGCCTGGCAGAGACCACCTCTCTCGTTTGCCGGCCCGGCACCGAAGAGTGTTTGGTTCGTTTTGCATTCGGCGCTTGAAAATTATACACAATAACTGAAGGTAAAAGTAGTTTACTGACTAGAGGAGGCACCTTCTGCTATTGCTGAATGCACACCTGGGTAGCTACTTCGCACGTGGAAAATGACCTTTTGTGCCACAGTGGACACTTCTCATGACTACTGCATCAAGTAGATTCCCATAGCATCACAGAATCGCGAAAATCGGATCCCCAACGCATTTGGCTGCCTCCACGTTTGCTCGACCAAAAGAAGGCTTGCAACAGAACACCTGGCGCTTGGAAAATGGTCCTTGCTTTTCTCCTGCCTTACGAGGAGCTTTGTCAACCCACTGGTTCAGCCCAAACACTTTAAAAACATGTTCCAAGAAACTGGGCAGTCCAGGGACCATGACAACATCGGCAAAGTCGGTGTCGGGCTGATGGTCGTACAGAGGGAAAAACTCAAGAATCGACAGTTGAATACTGGCGCAAAAAGTTACGGGGTTACCCCCGAAAACTCTAGTAGTGATTCATGTCTTTTGCTTCATGCGCAACTCCGTGCACGCCTCCAGAAGCAGCGTCACGCCATCGGTGTTGCCAATCAGATCCACTGCTGGGAAGAGCGGCTTGCCTCGGCTCTCGTCATCTGGGGTTGATCCATGTTCCTTCTGGCCCCCAAACGACGAAGGGTAGTTTTTCGCATGTTGAAATATCATCCTGTTTGTTGTTTTCCCCAATCATCCCACGTAAAGGACCTTTTCACCAACCCCCACATGTTGGTTAGTGTCGATTCAATCCACTTCCCGAGTAGGTGGTCGATAAATGGCTTGGCGATACATGGCAGGTCTAGCTCAAGCCCCAGCTTGTGCAAACCCAAGATTCCCGTGCTAGCACTGGCAAGCAAACTGCCATGCATGGTGAAGCACGAGGAAATCCATCCCTTCCTCCCAAAAATTCGGGCTTCAGCCGGGAACACGCAAGGGGGAGGCAGCAGCAAACATTAGGCACGCCAGGGAGACACGCGACGCGGGGCATAATTACTGACAGAAGGCCAGCACAACAACTGGCACTGCCACGAGCTCCGTCGAAACCAAGCGTTCGCACGTCGGCCGGCGCACGGCGTCGCGCCATTCGTTTTTTTTTGGGCGCTGCCTCTTTTTATGCCGAACTTACCAGCGGCAAGCATCCGGGCCAAAGAAGGGGCGTCTGCGGAAGCATCTGCGCGAAGATGCAGCGCCGCGCTTCCACAAGAAGATTCACTGGTCTGACTTGGCTGACAGGGCGAGTCGTGGAGAAAAAAAAGAGCCGTGGCTGGAGAAGTCCTCAGGCATTAGCTTGAGGCCAAAAAGAATGGGCCCCGAAGTGTGGTGCCTGTGACGACTTCCAAGACTGGCACCGGACAGGTGGCCGGCCAGCCGCGGCAACAGTCGCCTGAGGGGCGATTCGCCTTCGCAGCTGCAGGTTAAACGGATCCCGAAAACCAAGTGCGGTACTTTGCGTTCCACAAACATCTTTGACGCATGAGGAGATAGCAGCGCAGGGTTCCCTTTTTTGACTACCCCAAAGTCGACTTAAACCCAGGGCTGCTTGATTTCCCCCGAAGGGAAACCCCTGGGTGTAAGTCTACCTTGGGGGTAGTCAAAAAGCTGAACCCTGTAGCGCCACAACGCTCAAATTCGATGCCTTGAAGTCCACCGGGACACATCAAAGCCTTCACTGCGCAGGAATCCCACGGCACAATCAGCTGAAAAGGCATGCGTGGCCGCTGCCAAGCGGGCCAGAAGCACAGCGATCTTGCAGGTCTGGAGAAAACATGGGAAAAAAACAGCAGCTGCTGGAGGTCAAAATAACAGAGAATCGATCATGCACCCTTGCCCACCGATCCAAAACGTGTCAGGCAAGACAAGTCGCATCCAGTGTTGCAAGCACCACACTGCGAACAACACAGTGAACAGCAAAAAGAACAACGAATCTTCGAATGTGCGTCTTTGTGCATTTGTGTCGGAACCCAGAGAGGACGAGGACCCAATTGCATGCGACTCCTAGCAAAGTCTTTGTTCAGAAGTGCCAACAATCGTCCAAGGAGCCGAGCGCCTGATACTCAATGATGTCTAGGGGTGCTCAATTGCACATTTTGTGTTTTTTCACCGGCAGAAGGGCAATGAATCAATACTTACTGAAGTACTGCTAAACCCGTGCTCATGCAGCACTAAGCAGTATGAAGGCCCAATACGTATCCAATGCCAAGCCCATGAACTACTTGGGGCGGGGCGGGAAATCTGGCTGTTTTCTCCATCGCATCGGGACCCCTCGAAGTGTTTGGGGGGTGCAATCAGTCACCCACGCCAGGAGAAAAAAACAACAAACAATACAAAACCAAGCATTCGCAGGGATCCAGGCTTTGCCACATGGGTGTCTTTTTTGCAGGTTGGTTTGGTTTATATGAAGAGAAACCTTAAAAGGGAACCACTCTTAAAAGGGGCACCGCAGCTAGAGGCCAAGACCACTCATTTTGATTTTGGGTGTGGTTATTTTTCGAGGGTCCCGCTTTCTTGGTGTTGTTTTTTTGGAAACCACACAGAAAATAACCACAAGTTTTGGGGCGCCCTCAAAAAAAGGACACATCCATATGAAGACACATCCACATTCCCCATGCGAAGATTCCGAGGCGCTGGTGTCCACGTTCTTGGGTCCGTCCACCCGCTTCTTGCCGTTCACATACACCGAGAGCTGCCCGGAGGGTGCCACTAGCACCCCCACCCGGTCGCCTGGCGCGCAGATCCATTCGTGTGCGACGCGACTGCAAGCCGCATGAGACTTGGGGGAAATCAAGCCTTGACTCCCACGGCCATGCTTGCTCAGGGGGGTCTTTTCGCAACTGTTTTTGGACAATTGTTCGACCCCCTCGTAGTGAAGGATTCCTTTTCAAGGGGGTCCCCTCAAAAGGCGGCAAAAAGACCCGCCTGTGCTTGCCTCAACTGCAAGTTGATTTCGCCTCGAACACAAAGCAAGTGGCCCCGCAAGTTCGCTGCGCAGCAACAATCACGCTCCCTCGGCCAATGATTCTCTTGCGTACAAATGGTGGCATTCAATTGGCTGCAAACCTACAACAAGGCCGACATGTCAGGAACAAAAAGTTCAGAATAGAGCGGTGGTACATGCACTCTTGCAAGAACGGCACGCCGCCTTGCCAGTTCATTTAGCATCAGCAAAGCCTAGGATAATACAGTAAGCAACAAGCGTGGCCATCCGGTTCAGTGCATGCTTAGTTCGACTATCCTGCCACACAGGATGCTTCCTTGAGAGACACACGAGCATGTTCTCTTCCAGGAACCGTGAGGTGAATCGCTTGTTGCACCAGCTACAGCCCAGCGCAGCCTTATGGCACATGGTAACAGCAGCTCGGCTGTACTTCGGCTTGAGTTTAGCAACCCGGAAGGCACCTCTGAAACATGTCATCGGGCGAACGCCGCAAACCGTGACTCATTCGCGTCTTGAGCCTTGGGAGCCACAGCTAATTCACGAAATCCCGTCTTTTTTGGCGCCTTGCCATGATTCAGACAATTCACATGAGACGGCGCATCCCGAAAAAAGTTCAAGGCTCCTTGCGTGAGAGTTTTTGGCTGTGCCACTTCCCCAACCCCCCCCCCTTCTCTCCCCTTCGCCGTCACGCGCCTATTCGCAGCTCGGAGGGGTACCAATCCACCTCGATGAAGTCGTGGCTGTCGAACATGACGCCATCAAAGCCTATGAGCCACGCCTCGGCCAGCTGGGACATGTAACATACCTTTTTTGGCTGAAGTCCCCTGGAACAAATATAAATATGTCCAGTACTGAAATCGACTCCCTGAAAAAAAAAATCAACAGGGGATTACCAAAAAGTATAGGTTAAGCAAATGGAGGCATCTCCTGCCAGGATACTGCCCAAATGGTCAAAACACGTTGGCGGTTGAGGTGAAGGGGGCCATGTCAAGGGGCCATCCGAAGAAAAAAACAACTAGATTCCCATGATGATGCTTAACTATATAAATATATATATATATATATATATGGTACCCCCCCCCAAAACCCAGGTTTGGTCTGAAAACACTGGTATTTACTGTGTTTTCTGACAAAAACCTGAATCTGCCAGAACTGTCAGTTGTCAGGCTGTTTTTCAGTTTTCAAGGAAGCTTTCTGGAAACTCTCTGGCAATTCCTCAATACAATTCAGACAAGAAACTCTCTGCAAAACTGAACAAACTGCAAAAACCTGAAAAAAACTGAAAAATTGAAGAAAAAAAACTGAAAAAACTGAAAAACCAAGGATTCTGAGGGACATGACCCCCCCCAGCCATGTCCCTCAGAATCCTTGGTTTTTCAGTTTTTCAGTTTTTTTCAGTTTTTTTTTCAATTTTTTCAGTTTTTTTCCGTATTTTCAGTCTTTTCAGTTTTCCTTGGCATCTGAGCATCGAATCTGAAAACGGAATCCTTTCTCTCTTTGTTGCCTTTCAAGCTTTAAAACAGCAAACATTTGCTGTCATACAGAAGGTCAAAAACCAACACAACATGTGTTTTACAGTGTTTTCAGGCACTTGCAAGAACGAGGCACACAGAGTAAAGTTGACACCTTCAACTAGAAGAGAGGAAAGGTAGGCCCTGGAGAGGTGACCATATATATATATACATATGGTACGCCTTTGGGACCACCCAAAGCCAGAAAAAGCAAAACATAGCCGAAAAGCCAAAACAACAGGATAAAACACGGTCCTCCGGAAGAAGGCCCCAAAAGAGAAGGCTTTGACACAAAAACATGTGCTTGTTAAAAAGCAGAAAAACACAGACACGACAGACAGAAAAAAAGCAGAACCGAGCCCATATTTGAAGCTGTCTGGCTCCAGCGCTTGCTTACTCCTCTTCTGCCCTTTGTTCTGACCCTGTCCTAGCATGGCCAAGGAGCCTGACAATATGACCTTTGATGACCTCAAGAACGCATGCAACGCTTTCGTATTTTCTGAGTATTTTTCTTGCATTGCCCTAGTGACTTGTCCAGACAAATTGAGCCTCGTATTTCCTCAGCATTCTCCTAGCATTCTCCTAGTATGCTCCTTTAGTATTCCCCCAGTCTTCCTTGAGTATTTCCCTAGTATTGCCCTCGTCTTCCTTTAGTATTCTCTTGGTATGCCCCGAGTATTTCCTAGTAAGGTCAGTATTGCCCTAGTATTCCTTAAATATTCTCTTGGTATACCCCTAATATTCTCTCAGAATTCCCCTAGTATTCTCCCTGTGTTCACCTTTAATATTGCCCTAGTCTTTCTTGAGTATTTCCCTAGTATTGCCCTGGGATTCCTTTAGTATTCTCTTGGTGTGCCCACAAGTATTTCCTAGTAAGGCAAGGGTAATACTAGGGGAATGCCTTCAGTATTGCCCTAGTATTCCTTAAATATTCTCTTGGTATACGCCTAGTAGTCTCTCAGCATTTTCATAGTATTCTCCTAGTGTTCACCTTTAATATTGCCCTAGTATTCCCTGAGTATTTCCTTAGCACTGCCCTATGATTGCCCTAGTATTCCCATATTATTGCACTAGTATTCAGTTAATTTAGTAGTCTCTTGGTCTACCCCTAGTAATTCCTCACTACCCCATAGTATTCCCTTGCTATTTCCTCTAGTAAAGGGATGGAATTACTAGGGGAATACCTTGAGTATTGACCTGGTATTCCTTAAGTGTTCTGTTGGTATACCCCTAGTTTTCTCTCAGTATTCTCCTAGAATTCTTCCGGTATTCACCTATAAATATTTTCCTAGTACTTCCCTAGTAGTGCCCTAGTATTGCCCTAGTCAGGAAGCCTGAGGGAAGTCAGACAGATTGAGCTTGAGAGTATACCCCTAGTATTCCCTCAGTACTCCGGCGTATTATCCCAGTATTCACCTTTAATATTGCCCTCGTGTTCCCTGAGTATGTACCTAGTATTGCCCTAGTGTTCCCGTAGTATTGCGCTAGTATTCCTTTAGTATCTCTTGGTATACCCCTAGCTACTGTTCCCTAAATATTTCACTAGTCAGGGAATGGGAATATTAGGGGAATACCTTCAGTACTATCTTACTAACTAGGCAGCTAAATAGATAACTAACTGATTCGCCAATTAACTTGCTAACTGGCTTCAGAGCTCATTCACTACAACTATTTAACTGACTAATTAGCTGACTTGCTGACTGGTTGTTTGACTAACTAATTGAACTTGCCTTGAACTTGAAAAATATGCGTTTCGCAGAGGCGAAAATACACATGTTTCTAAAAAGTAGCATTTTTCCTAGTGATTTTGGCAGTTGTCCAGGTTCAAAACCTGTGTGTTGGGGGGGGGTTGCATATATATATATATATATCCAATTTCTTCAAGGGGTTCGCAGAACAAAACTGCATTCCCGTTTCAAGGGGCCATCTGAGAATTGGGCATGGTCAGCGCAAATCAGTTCAGCCAGCCAGTTGAAGCACCTGAAAGGTCTGAAGTTGTTGGAATTTCATGGTCCAAACATGCGTAGAAACCCTGTTTGGAAGACTGATGGAGGACCAGCGGGTCAGTGAAATGGTCCGTAAGATACCAACCTAGCCACCCAAATCCGGTCGCCGTTTCTCAGGGAGCCACAATTTGGATCAATCCCCACATCCCCACCGTCCACACGCACGAGCTTACGACCGTTACAGCAAATTCCTCCGCATCCTAGAGACTTCGACTCCAAATTCCCATCGGCTAGCTCAACAAGCTTTGCATTGAGAGCCTTATCCACCTGTCTGTGCGTCAAACTCCACTTGCCTGCGAGCCAAATTCGAGAACTCAAACATCGGTTCCGTTAACAAAAGCCAGGCCCGCCAAGCCCCTTCCAAAAAGAAACCCGACGATTAAATGAAGTTGCTTATTCACAACCCAAAGCGACACAAAAGCATCACCCTTTCCGAGCCTCGGGGCACACTCAAAGCACGAAGGCACCAACATGAAATGTAAACCCGACTGTGCGCCGGGCTGGACATTAAGCAAAACCAGACTGGCAAGCCGCTCCGGCGGGATACTGGCGGGATCCACTGGCAAATGCTGGCGAGCCGCTCCGGCTCGGTACTCGGCGCATACTCGGCAGGATCCACCGGCAAGGGATACTCAGCGGGATGCTCGGCGGGATCCACCGTCTTCACTGGCGGGCTGCTCTGGTGGGATACTCGGCGGGATCCACTGGTGAGCCGCTCTGGCCAGATGCTCTGGCCTGCCGGAATACTTGGCGGGATTCACTGGCAAGCCGCTCTGGCGGGATACTCGGCGGGATCCACTGGCGGGCAGCTCGCGGGATACTTTCACTGGCGAGCAGGATACTCGGCGGGATCCGCTGGCGAGCTGCTCTGGCAGGACACTGGGTGTGGGCGTGGTGTAGAAGCATCGCAAACGCGGATTTCAACATCAAATCTAACAACCCCTTCCTGTCGGGTGGGGAATAAATGGGATCCAGCATCCGGATCCATGTGGAAAGCAGACCGGATCAACCTGTTTTACGTGTTTTTCCCCCTGCTTCCCTGCGCCCTCCATTGCCTCAGCTCATGACCTGAGCAAAACCCCAACTAGGTCCTCCGGTAGAGAGGTTAGAATAAGAGTACTCGACTTCTTTTCTGTAATCTATTTGAGTAGGGGAACCCGTTACCCAACCAACAAAGGGGCTGAGAGGTCGGGCGCCAATTGCTGTGGGACCCTCCCGCCAAAGTCCCCCAGCCCCCCCCCCCGCGCGCGGCGCGGGGGGAATCGCCTCGCCTGGCGCAGGCCGTCCAAGATCTCGGGCACCTCGCCGAGAAGCGCCGGGTCATCGCTGGTGACCCCGACCGCCAGGCCGTCCGGCATGCCTGGCGGGCGTCCAGGCAAGCGGCCACCAGTGGCCGCCGCCAGTGAGAGGGCGAGGCTTCAAACATCCGGCATGACAAGGCCGCGCCTTTTTTTTTGCGGGGGGCCAACAAAAAAGCAGAGACACATAAGCAGAAGAAGCAAAAATCACACGGAAATGGTGGTCTCAATTCTATTTTCCTGGGTCGCTGTGCCTCCACAGCCAGTGGTTCAGCCTACCAGCGCCTCAACCCGCGTCAGGTCGGCACACACACACACACACCCCAGCGCCCTTCTCATGTTTTACTATGCAAGCTGGCGATGATGTCTGTGACTTTTTTTAAGTCTCCAAAATTCGTCGGATAGCTCCTGGACACATGGTTCGACTTCCCTTCAGATCCTATGGGTTCAGTGAAGGACCTCTGTGCCTGCCGGACTCACTCAGGAAATCGCCGGATCTCTGCTCGGTGGCGACATCTGCTCCCCTGCTCAAAAAAAAGGTTTCTCAGTCCTAACATCCCTTGGCAAATGCCCCAAAGAGATCATACCTGCAGCCCTATGGCTCGGCAGCGGTTGGCAGCTCGACACCCATCCGCCTGTGGTGACTGCCTCCACACGCACCTCGAAGTAGAAGCCATAGGCTTCCTGCGATGGTCTCCATGTCCATAGGTGGCCTTTTGGAAAAATAAAACAGATGGGTTTCCCGGGTAAATGGAAGCAATACACCCCACCTAAACCAGTGGAACCCATCTATTTTTACTCAAACTGACCAGTCAAAAGGACACCTATGGTCTCAAGCAGCGCCACTTGCTATTCTTCAGCCTCCTCCCAGTTCGTGGTTCGGAGCCGAATCGGTTTGGTGGTTTGGCGGTCTTCCGGGGTGGGAAACCCCATTCACCCAAGATCCGCTTCAAATCCAAGCCAAACCAATCCAAACCACCAAGGGTTGCCCAATGAACTGGGCGTTTCAAAAACCGAACAGTAGTCATTGGTCGAAAGGCTAAAGGCCTTGGGTCTACCTTTCCTCCTTCTCCTCCTTCTCTCCTCGAGCCTCTCCCCCTTGCCCCTCCCCTTTGCCACTTCTTTCCTCCTTGTGCTAGGTTTCCCCTCTCATTTCGTTATGTTTAAAGAGAAATCCACAGGAACATACATGGGCGGAACTCTCTTGGAACGAGGCCCAGCCACGTCTCCCTTTTGCCCTTCTCCCCCCTCCTGCTTAAGCTTGTAAGCCTCCCAACGTTGAGGGGTTGCAGCCCACGTCCATGGTCCCTTCAGGGCTATGAATCGGTTGTGATCCTAAGGAGTTGCAATACAATGGTTTTCTTGCTGCTGCGAGAGCTAGGGAATGACCGAGTCCGGGTGTTGGGAACGAACCGTTTGGGGATTCCCGAATAAAGGAAACCATAAGTGATGTTTTGTCTCCGGGTCGTTCCAGTCCCTCATTCCCCTATCAAGAACCAGCACGTGCTGATCTCTTGGCCCCGTTCCTCCGAACCGGAAGGGGATTCCCCTTGAAGGAAACCATATGGGATCCCTTTCAAAACCAACAGGGGAAAATAAAAACATATTCTTAAGCAAATGGAGGGATTGTTTCTGGGGGCCATTCCTTCATTCCCTGCCCATCAGATTTTCTCCATGCCCCGGCCTGGCGCAGCGGTGAAGTGCCCAGCACGCCTCCGAACATCTCCATGTCCGGCGCGCTGTGGCGGGCGCTCAGCCCGTCCGCCGACACCGTGACGTACTTGCCTCGGGAACAACGGTAACAATAGAAGAATAAATGGTATTTAATGGAAGAATGGAAGAATAATGGAAATATAAACAGAAAAATCAAAAAGTGGGTTGGAAACCAGGGAAGCAAGGGGGTATGAGCAAGGGGTATGTACTTCCACCCTTAAATGGGAAGGCCCAGCCCAAATTTCAGGCGGCCCCCCCAATAACTGACTGCTGTAAGCTGGTCGGTCGTCAGGGTCCGACTTCTCCCAGGAGACACCTCTCTGATGCTTGGAAGAAGCCGAAGCAAACGGTGTCAAACCATGGCTATGACAAAACACCGAGATAAGACAAGACATATTTCTGTGTTGGACCTGTTGAAATGTGCGGTTGACACCGAGATAAGACAAGACATATTTCTGTGTTGGACCTGTTGAAATGTGCGGTTGGCATAAACTCATTATATTATATACATACGGAACCCAAGAGTCCTTGATCTCAAGGAAAGATCGTCGGTGAAATACTCGAGAAATATCCTTCAAATGACTCCCTCTTGGGGTCCCAGGATCATTTTCACCATCTCTCAGTGGCCTCACCCTAGGACGGAAATTTATCTCTCTCTGCGATAGATACCAAGGGAATCCCCTTTAAAGTGACAAGAGTTGTCATGGAGATGTCGACTTATCGCCTGGAAGGGCTAGTTCCTGCACCCTGTGGCGATGATGGAGGTCCATGTTTGGAGATCGCTAGTGATCCGACTAGAGATGTCCATTGTCTGAGCTGTTTGCAGCGAGGCTTTGCGTATAAACACGTTGGCATGGACATGGTTGGGGTGGGCTCCGTTTCCCTCCCACTACACACAATCTTACACAGGACCACAAAGGGAGTCTGCTGTGTCTTAATAGCGGATAGGCCCTGTGATTTGCCAGAACTACACAGCCTTGTGGGCAAGCCACCACTTCAGTGCAATCAACCGATCCAGCAACCCATCAAGTAGCCAAGGAGACCGCCGTATTCTGCATGCTGATGGGATTGCTTGGGCAAAGGCGATGTCGCTGTTCTTTCTGCCACCGTATTCCGCGTGCTTTCAACCAACTCCTCTCCGACTATCTTGAGAACAAGCAACAACCAACACTACATCGTGGTAAGTAACGTAGTCATTGCAGGACCAATTTTTTCCAAGCTCGGTCCAGTCAATACGACTTAGCTCAGACATGATCTGCAAATTTAGCTATGATTCCAAAAGCTGAAGTACGTGATCCCCAAGCAAAGGACCTCTTTATCATGAGCTCGTTATACCCCCGATCGGCGAGCTCGCTAGGCAGACATGATCTACCTCCTTACCTCCCCTGTGCTTGTCCAAAGCGCCGTGCTTGCTGCGATGGAAGCCTTCTATCTTGGCAGAAGCGCTCGCCTCGGCATCATCGCGTCCAAGGGCGACTTTTGCTTCTGGTAGACCCCTAATGATGAACGCCTGACTTTCCCGGTAGCCATGGGAGAAAAGGACATAGTGCTTTTGGAGATTGGATTCAAACAGAAAACGCATGAAACACTGTCAAAGATGGTGACACGGCAACCGGGATGCTAAGAATGGCGCGGCATGGCATTGTTAGGCGCCCCTCTATTAATGGTTTGCACAGGCAGTTTTTGCATTCTGTCAAAGCTGCCAGCAAAGCACGCCAAGATTGGCACAGAAAAAGGATACAGCTGCCACCAGATCGGAAGTTGGAACGCCGCTTCGAGAACACAACATCAGCAACTTGAAGTCTGGGATCCGACAAACATGCCACACATGCACGAGCGAAGGAAAAACATGAAGCCAACAACAAGATGGAGTGCCAGTCAATCGTGACATTCTCCTTTCAGAAACTGATCTGGCCACTCCCCGAATCAGTGCCGAGTTGCGTTCGGCGAAGCACCTAGGCATGGGGCAAGCTCTGTGTGAACCGAAGGTTTCCGTTCGCAGGTATCTTTCCGGCTTCCCTGACACAACTCCTTCAGGCCTCCAGATAGGCTGTCCTCAGATCCTCCGCCAAGAGTTTAACTTTTAGCGGGCGAAATGGAAATCCCAAGCACTAAAGACTAAAAAGCTCAAAGGCGAAGGAAATTGGATGGCTGGCGGAAGCCGCCAAGGATACTTTCCCTTTGAACCTCTCACCCCAAAAGGCCACCGGCCACTCACTTTCCATGGCTCGAAGAGGTGGGCCTTTCAGACCTGAAGGCCATTGAGACTTGAGCATTCACCGCTTAGCTCGGTGGCGAAATCTGCTCCCCTGCGAAAAGCTTTTGACCTTCAGTGGTTTAATGCGGAAAACCCAAACTCGTGGGCGAAAAGTTATTCAGTCCTAACATCCCTTGGCAAAACGCACCTCTGAGGGGTGGTAACCCTGTAAAATTCAGATAGATAGCCTCTCTCCCACATGGCACCCGATAGGGTCGGCGCAAGAGGAAACGGCTCTTCCAGGCCCCACACATGCCTTCTGAAGGGTAGTTCAAAGCACCAGAATTGGATGGGAGAATTCTTGCTGGACCCCATTTGTGTGGCAGCCCTTCAAGGTCCTCCAGATTTGAGAGGTTCGATAAAAGTACCCGATTTTCTTTTTTCCGGCCTTGTCTATTTTACTAGGGGGTTCGCCCTCCCCCAAAAAAGTAACACCAACAGTTGGCACCAATTGCTGGGAGATTTCGCCTTCAGATTCGTTGAGTGGAAACCAGAGCGAGCGCTCCCTTCAGCTCTTCGGCCAGAGGCGCCCTTCCGCACCTTGCCCTTCACAGGCTTCCGCTTGGGACCTGGCGGCTGGCGGCTGGCGGCTGTTTTTTTGTTTTGTTTTGTCTCCGAGGCCGAGGTGAAGCAAAAGTAAGAGATAAAAGCCACAGCTTTTGGGCTGGATACGTCACCCAGGGTACTTTGTTGCCACAAGGCCCAGTCGGCAAAGGGGATGACTCAACAACTATATGCGGGAATTGTGCCATCTGAGTACTTTCGCCCAACTGTATCGTGAAAACAAAACCAACCTGGAAGGGTCCCTAAGTCTCGAGCCGCCGGCAATGTGCGCTGAATTGGGCCTTGCAAAGTTGGCTCCGTGGGCTGTGCTTCTGTGTAACCATATTAAAGTGAAAATTGGTCGCGTCAACGTTTCGGATTCGTCTCACAGTGCCAGTCGGCAGGTTTGTTGCTGTGTGACTTATAGAGCCACATGTTCAAGAGTGCCACTTGCAAAGGTTCCAAAAGAGGATTTGTTTGGAAGGTAGTGATGAATCGGTATGCCCTGGATAACCAATCCCTTGTTGGTTGATTAAAGCAACAAGCATCTAAATTCACCGTCAGGACTCGAAGGGTTCACCTCTTTTAGGAAATGCTCACACAGAGTGTGCCCGCTACCAGTTCAAATTAAGCATGTGTTTGCTGTCAGGACTGCCTAAAACATCGGGTGCTCATCTTCTTAGAGCGTCGCTTGATTGACATGTGCCCAGACCAAGTTCTTCCTTGGCAATTGCGCCAATTGCCGGCCAAACCTTGGCTGGCCTTGCCCATTGAACACAGAACTCAGCAAGTCTTGTGCTCAACACTGCACCTTCCATGTGCGTTTTCGCCCCCTGGAAAAAGAATATATGCCCAGTGGTGAAATCGACTCCATTCAAAAACCGGAAAAAAATGGAAACATCACAAGTACTGGACGCCTCCAAGTCTGATCAGCAACACCATGCTGCACCCGGCCCGGCCCGGACTGGCCTGTGCGGCCACCGGGCGTCGAAGCCCCCGCGCTGGCAGCGACGCCGCCGGCAGATGGGACCGCCAGCTGTGACCGCCTCGGCGCGCACCCCGTTGTTTTTGAGATGCACGGGAAAACAAAAACAAACACAACAAACAAAGGAAATCAACCCCCCAAAAAACATAAGAAGGAACAAAAACAAACAAACCCATATGTCTAGGGGTTGATTCCGATTCCATTCTTTTCAACCAT